ATTACCTGAGAGTTAGCGCACAGATAGGTACAGTGAGATAGCGCATTCCTGGATGAGGGCGGAGGAATGTGGAAGAGCGGCGACTTACATCAATAGATTGCGCAAGCGTGTCGCGCACTTGTCGCATATGTGCGCATCGCCGCGCCTTGACCAGAGTCAACCCTGCGTTGCGCAGTTCTCAACGGCCACGTTGCGCAGTTTCGCCCGATTAGACACGTTCTCTCGCGCGAACATTCACACTCGCATGCTCGAGCCGTCTGCGTCTCCGCCCATACAGCGTGCGTTGAGGATCTCTCAACGTGCCGTTGCGAACTGCGCAACGCAGGGTTGACTCTGGCCCCTAACCACACCCTTGTCATATGATCGATACTACCGAGATGATGTGATGTTATTGAACTTTGCAATTTTCCACCAGTCTGTGAACCATTTTATCTGTACCAATGCCGCAAGTGCGTATGGCTGTACCGCTTTTGGAGTTGTGCTCATCCTACTTGCACATTGCAGTAAATTTTAAATTTATTTTATACTGTTTATAAACGGGGTTGGGAAAATCGTGATTGATTTGTGATGCAGGTGATATATCCTACGATCTCCATTCTGATGACGGCAAAACTGGTGACAAGTTCATGAATCAACTGGAACCGCTGCTGTCTCGAGTGAGTAATCCAGCGAACTTTCCCGACTAATACATCCTTGAAGGCAGCGATTACGATAATTAGTAGGGAAAGAGGCGAGTTGGTCCTCACTGCTATACCAGCGGCGGAAAAAAGCAGAAAAATCCGTCAAGAAAACGCAAAACGGGACCCTCTTTTTTGGCCGTTGGTTTTCACTCATGAACAGGTAACAGCTCAGAAAGCGGATATGAACGAGTTCACCGCAACGCGTTTGGTGGCACCATGCCAAACCACGCTCCAATCGAGTTGCTCCAGTTGTGCCGCTGCTGGCAACGCAGCTCGTCCAAATCACCAACTAAACTAGTGGGCGGATCGCTTTTGGGGGCGGAGCGCTTTCGAAGTCCTGCTCAGCAACCAGCGCACCTTTCGTCGTGAAAGCGCCACACCTCGCTTCCTTGGCAGCCAAGTAACTGCTTCGTGTGTGCATGCTTTCCCGATGCGCTCCCTCTTTATCGTAATCGCCGCCTTTAAAAGCTACTATCTTCTCAGTGAAATCGATCGAAATCGAATTGCTCAGATCCCTTACATGGTTATCGCCGGAAATCATGAAAACGATGGCAAGAACTTCACAAACTTCCAAGAACGCTTCTGGATGCCTCATAACGGATACCACGACAATCAGTTCTACAGGTAACATAATCAGCAAGAGGTTGATGTAACACTTCTTCATCAAAAACAAATTTTTCAAAAAAAAAACTGTATGAGCCCCTGAATCTTGTTAGAAATGATTTAAATGAGTCTGAAAATTAATTGATTATTTCACGTTCTCATTATTCAGCTTCGATCTTGGACCTGTACACTGGGTGGGATTGAGCACTGAATATTACGGCTACTATGACACTGTTGGGAAAGGACCGTTACTCACTCAGTACAGTTGGCTACAAAAGGACCTCGCAGTGAGTACAGTATCTATCAAACGTTAATTCCGTATGTTACCATTTTAGGTAGTAATGGAGAAAGGTTGCAATATCGCTGAATAAGGTACCACGTCTTTCTATGGCCCTGTTTTTGCAAGTAGTACCCATGCTTTCTCCAAACTTTATCTCTTGAACTTGCATCGAATTCTTTTTTTGAATAACAGTACGCAGAATAACGAATAAACAAATAAATAACGAATTATTCTCACGTTTCAAGAAAACCGGACATTGTAAGGATCATCTATCTAATCTGGGAGCTTAGGCCGATGTCAGTCTTTGCAAAGCGAATCGCTGGATACGAGCGTTGCACCAGCGAATCGAGCTGTGTACCAGCGGATCGAACTATGTATGTGCCAGCGGATCGAACGATGTACCAGCGACTCGACACTGTTTGAAAGTGGCGGACCCAACGTTTAAAGGAAGTCCACTTTAAAGGACCACACTGTTTGAAAGTGGCGGGACCCAACGTTCAAAGGAAGTCCACTTTGAAGGCACACACTGTTTGAAAGTGGTGGGACTTCCTTTAAACGTTGGGTCCCGTGTTGAGTCGCTGGTACATCGTTCGATCCGCTGGTACAGATCTCGATTCGCTAGCGAATCGTTGGATTCGCAAAGTCTGACATCGGTCTTAGGCATGCCAGACTCTGTGATTAGCTCTTGCGAATCACCTGAGTGTGATTAAAGCTTGACATTAGCTAATGGCATTCTTTCCTCACCCAACGCCTCACAAGCCGTACGATCTACGCTACGGTAGCGGTTTCGTTGCTGATTTCAACCCAATAGCCACTCCTGATCTTATTATATTTTCAAAACAACAAACTATGCTTACCATTTGCTAGCAATGGCTACGTAATGTGCCTTTGAGAAAAGTTACCTCCATGGCTCTGTATAAGCCTACTTGGAAACACTAACTTGGATCTTCTTCGGATATTCATTCATAAACTGAGAACATTACCGTTAGGCCATGGTAGCATCACGCCATCTTGGGCCTATACATTTTCCTAAAGTCTTGTATTCTTGTGATTAAACTGTGAACGAGAACATATAGAAATGGGATTTTCAGGCAGCCAATTCGAATCGCCATCACACTCCATGGATCATCAGCTATCTTCACAGACCTTTCTACTGTTCTGCTGAGTACAGTGATGACTGCTCGGCCTATGAAAACTCCCTGGCAAGTTTCGCCCTGAACCTTCGTCGTAGAAGTTGTTCCCATGTCCGTCTTTCTTGAAACCTGGGCATTCTTCATGAGTGTTTGTGTTAGTGCTGTGCCATACAGGTTTTTTAGGGTGGAATATTTACAGTCTACTTCAGATACGAGTTGGTCACAACGACTTGCCAGGTCTCGAATCTTCATTTATTCAGTATGGTGTTGACTTAGGATTTTGGGGACACCAACATTTCTACGAACGTTTCTATCCTGTGGCAAATAAGAAGTATTGGGATTCGGTGAGAAAATTTTTGGTAGGATTCTGTCCGTTTCATGAAGCACCTGTTTTAGCCCAACTGCTATCACAACGC